GGCCATCATCCCTGCCTGAGTACTTCTCCGTTACTTAAGCAAAAAGGGCAAACCCTCTGAGTGGGGTCCGGGGATACTCACTGATGGTGCAGAGACAGGGTCTCTCTGGTTGGCAGTGAGCTGGAATGACAACTGAGAGAAGATGGGGAGGTCAGACATGGACCTTGGTGGAGGAGCCACATCCCATCATCAGGGAAGCTGGGAGGACCTCGCTGCCCACGCCAGACTCATGAGCGTTGAGCAGGGAAGGCGGTGGGCTCAGCACAGAGCACGAATGCAGTCGGACAAGGGGAGGGTGTCCTTGCAGTCATCCCGTGGAAAACCTCTCTGGTCCCCATCAATAGCCGAAGCTTTGGCTGGCTGCCAGCCTCCTCTGCTGCACGGTTGCACCAATAAATACTTGTTGGCAGATCGATTAAACCATCTAGGAATGACATCTGGAAATATAGCTTCTTCTGCTTGGCTCAAGTGGACGGGCCTTCACAGCCAGCTAGTCTCAGGATACCATACCTGGGCTTCCACTCTCTATCCAAAAGTCAGTCTTAAGCACCAAGGGGCCGTCTGTGCAGAACACCCCCAAAACAGTACAAACCAAACACCCCAGTAAAATGTTTAGCCTACAGTATAGCCCATGGGTTCCTCTGACAAACAGAACCATCAGTCCCCCTGTATCAAAGCTGTTGAGGCCCCGAGGCTGTTGGCCTCCATGGGGGCTCCTTTCTCCCACCTGCTGTCACTCATGCCCCATTCATCATTAAGGAACTCCAAGACAATGCCCTTCTGTTAGCACTCAGCCACCAGCATGTAGAAAGAGGAGCCTTCAGGCCGGGGAGCAATTCCAGACAAGACCAGGCCACCCCAGAGGTGAGTGTCAGAGCAGATGGGGCATCTTCCGTGATACCATCTGCTCGGTGATGATGCACACCTGATTCCAGGCAGCAGCAGGGCCATCCTCTGCATCCAGCCTAGCTTTGCAGTGCACTCTGCAGAGCTCTCTGTGGGCAGGGGAGGAAGCAACAGAAGGAGAGAAAGCAAGAGACAGTATGGCAGGGGCTCAGCTGAGTTCTCCACAAAGGGCCACAGTCAGGCGGAGCCGACTCTCCTGAGGTGTTTCCCCCTGCCTTACCTGCTAGGGCCCCCACAAGCATCTCACACCATTCGCCTCAGCCTGAATCCAGGTTCCTCAGCTATGAGTTGTGTGATTTTGAGCAACTTGTTCAAGCTCACTGCACATCAGTTCCTTCAGGGTGAATGAAAGATGACCATCCCTATATTAGCTTAAAGAGTATTTCAATGATCAGTTTTGTAAAGGGCTTAGAAGAGAGCCCAGCAGCATGAGATACTTCTAGCTAGTGTTACTATTGCTATGACTAGGTTGGCTCTAAACAACTGAGACAGCCTAGTCACGTGCCTGGCTTGGTCTGCATACATCTCAGCTACACACTTTTCAGCTCTCTCAGTTGCAGAGCTTTGAGCATCCTTCAGGTCTTTGCAGTAAACTCCCAGATGCTAAACCGTATCATTCCACAGCATAGCAAAAGAACAATTCTATCCACGAGAGGTTCCAGGGCATCGTGCATTTGCAAGAGGAAATTGCATTGCCAGGAGCTCTTGTCCCGTCAAACACGTGCTTCAGAGTTCAGTGTGGTAAGACCTTTTAGGGCTTGCTTTTACAGTCATAAAAATCATAAATTGAAAAAGAGTTATCCATTAACAACTTCCATTGCATTAGCGGAAAATGCTTTACAAAGGCCATTCTTTGCATTCCATTCATGACCCCCGGAACCTCTTTCAGCTCCGCTGGCTAATTGCAGCAGTGGGCTCCAAGTACTAGGTGTCTGCTTGGTGCTGGTGTGCCTGGTCGCCCCAAGCTGGAGAGGGGACACTGAGGCTTTGAGGAAGGAGGTCTTTCAGGGAAGTAACCCCAAGGGACAGCCCTTTTTTTTTTTTTTTTTTTTTTTTTTGGTTTTTTGAGACAGGGTTTCTCTGTGTAGCTTTGTGCCTCTCCTGGAACTCACTTGGTAGCCCAAGCTGGCCCCAAACTCACAGAGATCCGCCTGGCTCTGCCTCCTGAGTGCTGGGATTAAAGGCGTGCGCCACCACCGCCCAGCCGGGACAGCCCTTTTATTACAAACTATACTTTCATTCCAATCCCCCAACCCTAGACAGGTTACCATGTCTACAATCAACAAAGGCTCAGAATTCAACCCACGGATCTTCATGTTGGGCCACCTTCCCAACCCAGGGACTCTGGGGCCAAACTATTTCCCTCCCTGGGAATTTGTGGTGGAATTCAGTCCAGGTCACCCTCCACATACACAACATAGCTCTTTCCTAATCACCCCCCAGCTCTGGGACCCCACTGTAGCCCGGGCTACCACATAGTCAGGGCTTGAGCATCCCTCTCTGCCATCATACCTCTACCCAAGGTAGAGGAGGCTACTCTTGTCTGGAGAACAGGCTAGCACAATGCCAGGCAAACTTACCTGGTCATCAACCAGGAGCTGCTACAGGCTTGCATCATGACACCCTACTTCACCATCACACCCCCTACCCCATACTCTCCTCCACCTCCTGAATCTTGTTCCTGATTCTGCCAAGCTGAAGAACCCCAGCCACTGGAGAGGACAATGACAGCATCCAAAGGACCCATGAGGTCAAAATGCATCAAACACGGCTGCCTTTCCCACCCAGCCTCCTTCAGCAGTGCAGGAGATCCCTGATTCTAACAGCCACAAGAGAGCCACAGGGACATGTCAGTGCCTTCATTTTGCTGTTGAAGACCAAGCAATAGACCGGAGTGGTCAATAACCAAAAGGAAATATTCTTTTTCAGGCTTTCACAGCTCCCCCTGCTGTCGATTTCAGACATTTGATCCTGGCTACCATTGATGTCAACACTCAGACTAAGAAAGGGATCCCATGTCCCATTTTGCAGATGAGTAAAGTGGGTCCTAGGGGATGAGAGTGACTCACTAGAAACAGAAGCACTGAACTGGGGATGTACAGAGGTACAGGACACACCCTCCAGAGCTTTGGTGCAAGCCCAAATTAATTCCAGCGGTAAACGTCCCATTGGACTAATGCCATTATTTCCCATCCCTTGGGTTTGCCTCACCATGTCTATCTAAGAGGATTCCAGACACTTTCTATAAGGCACCATGACGGCCACCCTGCTCAGAGCAGACTGACTCATCTGCTCCAGGGTTTTACAGTTAGACAAAAACTAGAGCATCATTCCATCATTAATCTTAGTCCAACAAGCACAGAAACAAATCCCAGTGAAAATGTTGCCAATTATCCCAGAGCTGGGAGGTCCGGCCACTTTTGTGTTGGCCTGCCACCCTTGAACGGTCAGCTCTCATTCTGCTCAAGCAGACACACGTGTCAGGCCTTGCCTGTGGTTCCTTTTCTGGAGTGTTACTCTTGGGCTCTCAACTGAAGAGGGTGAACATGGGAAAATGGTTGGTCTCAGAGGCCAGCATACCTGGGTGGGCGGCGGCACGCGTGTGCGCATGCTCATGGGCGGGGGTGGGGGGGCTGTTTATGGTTCTGGAGTTCTATGCTTCAAGGTTTTTGTTTGTTTGTTTTTGTTTTCTCTGTCTTTCAAAACAGAAAAAGGGGTCTGGAATCAGCCACACTGGCTGGCAATTATATCTCTCATTTAAAATGAACCCGGGAATCGGGGCTGCGAGCACTCACTTCTGTAAGTTTTGGTAGGGGTGTGGGAGGAAGTCTACAGATGGGTGCTGGTGGACTGGTCCGTAAGACACTTTTCTCACTGCTATGACCTAACACCTGACAAGGAGGGACTTAAGGGCGAGCTCGTCCTGGCTTAGGCTTAAGAAGGTATAAGGTCCCCATGACAAGGAAAGTATAACAAACACCAGGAGTAGGAGGCAGCTGGTCACGTGACATCTGCAGCCAGGTAGCAGAGAGCTGACATAAAGTGGAGCCAGGCTCTAAAAACTCAAGATCCATCCTCTCCCACCCTCCATGATCAACTTCCTCCCCTAAGGCTCCACTTCCTGAAGGGGGCGAGAATTCAAACATGAGCCTATGGGGGACATTCATGTTTAAATCACAATAGCTGGTATGTGTGAGCAAGCCCAACCAAGTGCTGGGATTCAAGATGGGCCAAGTAGCCATGTGTGCCCTTCCTGGAGGCTACCCTTCCTTCCCCTGCCTCTGCCTCCCGAGTACTGGGATTAAAGGCATGTGCTGCCACCACCACCCGGCATTACTGTGACTTTTAAACCGCCTCATAGGTTATGCATTTTGAGTAAAGGAGGACTTCATGTTGCTGGGATAAAACCCAGCAGCCCACAGAGGAGTTTCACTTCAACCACACAGTCTTTAGCAGTTGCTGGGACAGTTCACAGTATCTAGATTTCTGGTTGTCTGGAAAAATGGCAAAATCCCATAGTCCAGGGCTTCGTGTCCACATGGCTATAGCCAGCTGGAGGTGAGGGTAGTTTACCTCCTTTGACAGCTGCCAGAAGGAACTGGGATTTGGGTGTTCGGATCTGCATACAGTAGGTGTCAATAAATGACAGTTGCTAACACTACTACTTGTTTAATAGCTGGATTCCCACCCAGGAACTGGGCAGTGGTGAGATGCTCTCCAGCTGTGACCAGGTTGGTCATTTCATAAATCTCTTTAGCACTCACAGGCTTTATCAAATGCATTGACTGTTCTGAATATGATCGATCCTACAGGACCCTCTGAAGTGCCCTGAGTTGGAGTACGGCCATGTGACCCTCTTGAGTGCCCTGAGTTAGATTATGTCCATCGTGCCAATTGCAGATGGGAAAATTGAGGCACAGCCTCTAAGCTGCCAAGACTTCAGCGAAGACAGAATTCAAAACCACGTCCTGACCACTGCTGAAAACTGCAGGATTCCCCAACTGCTGCTCTACCTGCTCTGCTTCCCCTCTCCCCAACTCTCCTGGGGCGGGAAGGAAGCCTCTACCCCTTGCCACCTAGGCCAGCACACTTACGGTCAAGGCCATTGATGTAGCGCATGGTGACTTCGCAGTGGCCCCACACGGCACTCACCACCGGGTACAGTTTCTTGCCCTTGAGGCCACGGAAGGCCACACCCAGGTACTGGCCATCCACGATGAAGCTAAGTGTGCCCTCGTCCATGTCCAGCACGACCAATAAGGAATCTGGCAGAGCGAAGGCCTCATCCGGTCCCAGGAAAGCAGGGTATGCCACCCCAGGCCGGTTCTTGCCGTCGTGGTAGAGGCGGCTGCGGCCCAAGTCCCAGCCCCACGACTCAGAGTCGCTGCCCACCAGTGCGGTGTAACCCACAGAGTGCAAAGGCGCACGGGCTGTGGCCACGCCCACCACAGCATGGGTGCCCCGCTGCCTAGCCGGCCAGTGGATCTGCCATGCATGCAGGCCCCGGGCATGGCCCACCTTGCCACGGATGCCATCCGTGCTCTGGGCCACCGGGTGGCGGTGGAAGGTGAGGCGGTCGTCGTCCTTGACGAAGACGTTGAGAGAGCGGTCCTCGGGGTTCCACGCATGTCTCAGTTGCACAGCCAGGCCTGCCGCAGGCATGTCCAGCAGCTGGTCTAGCCGCCCTGGCCGCCCAGGCTCTGAGCCTCGAAGCTCCCGCTTGGCCGGCCGAAGCGTTGGTTCTCGCACCTCCACGGACTTGAGGCTCCCAGAGAGTTTCTGACCCATGGCTCACTATGGGGAGGGGACCGCTGCGGGCCACTGCTACCTCGCCGGAGCCTCCACTCCCCGCAGCCAGGGATGGACCCCGAGGCTGAGAACCAGGCTTCCTGATGGTTGATCTCCACAGCCTCTGCTGGGCTGTGGCAGGGGCCCAAGCTCCTGGAAGGAAGCAAAGGGCACAGGTTAAGACAGAAGCATCAACACTCAGCTACTCATCCCTTCATTTATACCCAGGCCTTGGTAGGACCCTTTGCAAGGCCCTACCGCATAATTAATGTGCATAATAATTAATGATACTTCATATCTGGTACTTTCCAAGTATATGAGATATGGCATACACTGCCCTCAATGATTAAGGTTTCTCGTTCATCTAAATCTTAAAGAGGTCAGTGATTAGCCAGTCTCACAGGTAATAAGTGACTGAGCCAACCGTCAAACCAAGGTCCTTTGCTCTCAGAGTCTGTTCTGGGCACCAGAGCAACCGCTGGAAATCACTGTCGCAATAACAACTGAACCCCAAGACATTGGAGTGCTGAGACATGGGGCCATACACACTTAGCATGTGGCTCATGGGTTTGGAGCTCCAGTTGTCTGGAGCTTTAAAAAAAACATCTTAAAATGTAACCAGGTTTGGGAAGCAAGACACAGAGCAAGTGTCCAGCAGGGTCACCCAGGGACAAGGATTCCAGCAACTATTTGAGGACGGTGTGCTGTCACCACAGGAAAAGAAATGGCAGAGAAAGAGGAAAAGAGAGCTGGTCGGTCCAAACTGTGGAGCCGGACAACGCTGATACAAATCCCTCTCTATCGGAAGCCTCTCCTGGACTCCACTTTCCTCCTCTGTAAGATGGGATGAAACACCTCCCTCCAGGTGGTATGAGAATCTAAAAGATGATACGATAAAACTCAGATCTGGGACTCTGGAGGCAGGTGTCCTCTTGCCTCCAGGCATCCCACAGGGGATTATTTCTCTTGGATACACCAGTGTTTTCCCTGGGTATAGAAACATCATTGACAACATTAATCCCAGTCAGTATGCCTTAACGCAAGACGGTGGTTTTCCAGGAGGAGGAAGGACTGGCCACAGTAAGGTCACTCAGGCTCCTGGGGTCTTGGGGTGCTTAGATGGCCCTAAATGTGGGAAGAGGAAGGTTGAGCTTTGCCCCACCTGACTCCCACAGCTGGCAGAGGACAGGGGTGTGTCTTCTTCTTCTTCTTCCCTAGCCTGAGAGCAGCTTGGCTCAGGACGACTTCCCCAAGACAGACAAGAAGACAGGATGCTGCCACGCTCTGTCTTGCCTATCTGTGACTTCCTAATGGCCAGTCCTCACTGTCAACTCAAGAAGCACCCAGGAGATTAGTAAAGCTCGCCTCTGGGTATATCTGAACCAGGACATTTCCAGAAAGAGTTAACCGAGGGTGGAATGCCCACCCTAAATGTGGGCAGCACCATTCCATAGGCTGGCGATTCAGATGGAATAAAGGGAGGAAAAGAGAAAGCTGCCCACTGTAGCATGTTCTCTCAACCTTCCTGGCCGCCATCACCACGAAGTGAGCTGCTGTGCTGGGCCACGCCCTTTTCTCCATGTTAATCAGAAACCTCTGCAATTGCAAGGAAAATACATCCTTTCTTCTTTTTTTTTTTCTATTTTTATTTTATCTCCATTGGTATTTTGCCTGCTTGTATATCTGCGTGAGGGTCTCAGGTCCCCTGGAACTGGAGCTACACATAGTTGTGAGCTGCCACGTGGGTGCTGGGAATTGAACCCAGATCCTCTGGAAGAGCAGTCAGTAGGCTTAACCACTGAGCCAACTCTCCAGCCCCTAAAAGCCTTTCTTCTTTAAGTCATTCCCTCGGGCATTTTGTCAGAGCACAAAGGATGACAAACGCAGAAAACTGATGCTGAGATGTGGTACAGAAACGCACGGAACTAATTTGTCGGGAGAATTCAGAAGAGTTTGCAGAAGCCAGCCAGAGATATCCTAGAATGCTATAAGCACAGCTTAATGGGTGATTCTGGGACCTTAGGACACCAGGGTGCTGAGAGGAATGCCAATGAACAGTAAAGGCATCTCATCCAGTTCCAGGCAGAACAATGTCTCCTGGGAACTGAACCAAGACCATCTGTGTTACTCTCTGGCAAAGAAGCTGTGCACATTTTGCCCATGTCCTGAGACTTCACAGAGGCTGAATTCAAAGGTGAAGAATGAATGAATTTGGGGGAGGGAGTCTCAGAGCAGCCCTGTGTTCAGGATATGACTAAGTTTGGCTCTTCGACCAGATTCACAGTGAGGTCTGGGAGCAAAATACACAGCGAGAAGATCCTAACCCTTAAAAGGATACTGGGATGGGTACTACTGACTGTCAACTTGGCAGGACCCAGGGCCACCTAAGAGACCAACCTCTGCTCGTGCTGTGGGGGAGCTTCTGGGCTGGCTTGGAGTAGGAAGACTCACTCTCAAATGTGGGCAGCACCATCCCATAAGCTGGGGCCCTGGCCTGAACAAAAAGGTGAGCTGAGCCAGCATTCTTCTCTTGCTCATCTCTCAGCATGGGTGTGATCTGCCCCACAGTCCTGCCGTCCAGCCTTCTCCGTCATGACCAACTGTATCAAGCTGTAACAAACCCTTCCCTTAAGGTGCTTCCTTCCGGGTTTCCATAGCAACGAGAAAAGTAACAAATACAGAACCCCCAGCAGTGTGGCCTCTAAAGAGATCAGAGCAGCCGTTCTCAACCTTCCTAATGCTGCAACCCTTTAAAACAGTTTGTCATGTTGTGGTGACCTCCCCCCCAAAAAACATAAAACTATTTCCATTGCTACTTCATAACTGTAATCTTGCTACTGTTACGGAGTAACAACAAAAGTAAATAACTAATATGCAGGATATCTGATATAAGACCCCTGTGGGAAAGGCATTGCGACCCACAGATTGAGAAACACTGGGTTAGTACCATTAAAGAAGGGCATCAGGACAACTAGAAAGATGCCTTGAGAGCATCTGGGGAATTGGCTCAAGAGTGTGAAGGTTTTCACTTATTTGAAAGACTCTGCCCCAAGAAGAGAACTCCAGGATACCCTGCCTGCACCAGGTACCTAGGAAATAGTCTCTGTTTTCAATCATTAAGGCACTCAGGCCACTTCAGTCATGACCCAAGATGCTCTGGCTATTGCTTGAGGAGGTGGCAAATCCAGCATTATCCGCCATGCTGGTTTTGCAGGCATGCAGAATGCAAGAACTACTGGATCATGGAGGCTTAAACCTAAATTACAAAGGAAGGCCTAGGTGGCTAGACAGCCTATGACAGATGTGGAATCCCTGCAGGCAAGGGAGTCCCAGAAAAGTCAAGTGAACCTTCCAAGAGGGGGATGCATGAAACTGTGAAGGTGAAGAAGCCAGAGATGGCAGGAAGGTGGGATGTCTGCTGAAGAAGGCAGCGGGCACTGAGCAGAGACAGCCAACAGAGAGGCCAGGTGATCTACAAATGACCTGGTCATAGGACCAAGGGTGCTGGGGCCTTCCAGAGCTGACATTATGACGCCTCATACCCCACATTTTCCCTCTGAAGTTTCAGTCTTGTTTCGGTTCTGTCCTTCCTGTTCCCCAGCGCTGTCTATTGAAATGGGGATGTTTAGTCTGTGGTATCGTATCTTGGAAGCATGTGACTTGTTTTTGATTTTGCAGGGGCCCACGGCTGAATGTGTGCATGGGGGTTCAGAGGATAATCTGGACTTGAACAATGTTGCAACTGTTGAGACTTTGGGGATACACAAGAGCGACTAAATGCACTTTAGGACATTATGAGACAGAATTGGGCCTTTCGGGAGCCAGAGGTGAAACGTTGTAGCTGGCATGTTAATTGATAAGAGGTGAACTTGTGATAGTTAGTTCTTTTTCTTGAGTGTATGTGCACACACCTGTGTGTGTGTGTGTGTGTTTGTAGGTACAGGTGCATGTGTGTATGCGCGTGCATATGCACATATGTGTGTAAGTAACCCAGAAGGCAACCCTGAATGTATTTTTCAGGTGCCATCTGCCTTATTTTTTAAATAAGGGTCTCTCGTTGGCCTGGAAGTCACTGAATAGGTTAAGCTGGCTGACCAACAAATCCCAGGGATCCTCACCTTTTCCACTTCCCCAGGGCTGGAATTATATGTACAAACCACCATGCCTGGCTTTTGTACATAGCTTCTGGGGATCACGCTCGGGTCCTTCATTTGTACGGCAAACACTTTACCTAAACCTGAGCCATCTCCACCCACGATAATCTTGAGTGTCAACTTAACTGGACTGAGAAGTGCCTAGGAGGGTGGACAGGTGCACCTCCAGTACTTGTACAGGCATTCCCTGTGTGCTCCTGGCCTCTGCCATCAGATCTGCCACAAGGAACTGAAACTCTGGCACTGTGAGCCAAAACAAATCCTTCTCCCTTTAGGCTGTTTTCTCAGGTGTTTTGACACAGACAGGAACGTCTAACACCCCACCCAGACAGAAGCATACCCCAACGAAAGGGCAGAAGGGAAGGAAGGACCCCCGTGCCACTCAGCATAGACACACATGTTTTGGATTTCTTTTTTAACCCTCTGCTTTTAGTCTCGGCCCCCATGTTCCTCTCTTTCTGTTGTCAGGCCTCCGCTGCAACTGCTATCAACTCTATTTGGAAACGTTCTGGGTAATGTTTGGTCTGAGAGAATACTCGATCACAAAAATTCCCAACACTCCATAGTTTAAAGGCGGCAGAATAAAACTACTCGTGTTCTTATCTGAAATCACCCAAAATCAAGGAGAAACAGAACTAGAAATGCAAAGGTCCTCTTCAGCAAAACCGGACACATTTGTAACCCAAACCCCAGCTTAGGAGGGAAAGGCTGCCAAACACAGTCAGAGGCGGCCCGGAGCAGCCAAGATCAAAGCTGGTCCAAAACACCTCGAGAAGGCACCTTGCAGGTCAGGGCTGTGGGAAAGCCTGCAGAGCAGACCAGCGGCTGGGATTCCTGAAGGAAGAATCCAATGGTCTAAGTCAAGAGCGTTGGGCACAGGATGTGCAGTCTGGTGTCAGGAGCTGCCTTTGGCCTCTGAGGGAATGGGAAGGCAGGCTAACAGAGGAAACCACAACCTGCCTTCTTCACAGGCAGCAGAGGGGAGGCAGGGCAGGGAGG